TTAAAGTCACAAGATGGCTAAGTGTCGTTACTCTGAAGCGTAGCTTATTTAGTGGCTCTAGTTCAGCCGTTAGCCTGCGACCCCCCGATACGGTGCCCGCGATATACGACGCCATGTTGAGAATTACGCGGAGAATGCACAGAGTGCTTCCGCTTCTCTGCGCAACGTTAATCACCGGACGCTCGAGGCACAAGATGCGTACTATGCTTGCTGTACTATGCATAAAATGCATAGCATAGCATAGCAAGAATACGGCATAGCATAGTAAGCAAAAGCATAGCAAAGCATAACGCACGTTTAAGATTAGCACGACGCATTTTGTTCTTCCCGGGTTTATGAGAATGATCGAGGCAAGTTTAATTTTTTTAAGAGCGGAAGAGACGAGGTTGAGCGGTGCATTAAGACGCAGATGCTACATTAACAGTCAACCTTCGTACTGAAAGGCTTTTGCAGAAAACTCAGACTTCGCAGCAGACCTAGCCTGAAAGCTAACATATAATAATAGTAATGTCGGGTGTATGTGTCTACAACCGGAAGTTAGTCAGCATCAATGGCCGCCTGGAGTCTCAGCTGTACATGAGAAATTTAGTCAGTGCAGTACAACCGCTAGCCTTGGGTGTTTAACGTGCACCACGCAGTAGGGATACACGACCGCACGCCGGCACGATGCAACCCGGTGCTCATCCAGATCGAAACGGGCAGGGGTGGGGATTGAACCCAGGATCCCTGGGTTCTGCAGCGCGAGCTTTCGAAGGCTAGCAAGCCACAATATAACCTAACCAAGCAAAGAACCTAACGTCCTTTCATGCAGATTGGTAACAAGCGTTTCCTTCTTTGTGGTCTGCAATATTTAGAAGCTGATGAAGTGCACATATCGCAGCTGTTTCAGTTCAAAGTGTAGTGACTAAGTAGTCGTAAACTAAAAAGGGGCGGGAATTGAGGGGGGGGGGGGGCAGGTGGAGGATTAAAAATTAATAGTAATGCTTCTAAAACTAATCAAATTACTCTCGTTATCACTGGCTAATAAAAGAAATCAAATGATTACGCAATTCCTTTAAACAGTAATCGATTAGAAGTAATTTGAATACTGGCTCTGAGTAGCGTACAATTCCGTGATGAGGTGACGAAAGAGTGGATCGCCTGCATTCAGATTGCCTGCACCCTCTCCATTCAATTGCAAGCGCTGGCTTGAGTTGCTCCCTCTCTTCGATCCAGGCTCTCTAGTCGGTGACCGACCCTGGTATTCTACCGGCAACAAAAAGATCCCGACTCGTCTGGCGGACGAGAGCAGAACGAGTCGGGGCGGCCGCCGCGTGACGCATTTCCCGGAATTCCGGGCAGGCCAGCGCGTGGCGCGTACCCCCGCCCTCGCAGGGCGCAATTCCAGCGCACGTATTGCGTCACCGCCCTTTAACGGCGTTAATGGCGGCGCGGCAGCACTGCAATCGCGAGACATATCTGACCGTGGAGCCCCGAACGGCTACAGCCACAAGGCCGCCTCGGAAGGACAGACGAGAGATCACGCGCCAAGTGGCCACTATCTGCCTGTCTCCGGCCGTGTTCTGTGCGTGCGCCTTCTGGTTGGAGTACAAGACCGACGACTCAGCCTGACTGACCACCCACCCGTAGCTCTGAGAGAGGGAAAAAAAAGAAACGCCAAGAAGGACGGAGTTTTCGCCGTTTGAACGCCTCATTTGCGTACGACGTCTACGCGTGCCAGTCACGGGTGCCCTGGCATGTTGGCGGCGCACGTACCGTCCTTGACTTTTGCGTGGACCGAGACAACGGCTGGTCGAAGTGCGAAAACTATGCCTAGAACGGACATATAAAGAAGTAACTGCCGGAACTTTTGGGTTTAAGATGGTTTGCCGCTCTCGGGTGTTAATGTGACAACGATGTCCCTCATTTAAATATAGCGACTGAGTTTGCTGGTAGAGCAACTGCAAGGTGGCCTCTAGTAAGATATTTACCTAGGCGCTCATTTCACCGATAATTTTTAGCCGACGTGTCGCCGACTCGGTCGTGGGAGTCATCGTGCCAATATCTCAGTATTGGGGGCGAGAAGGTCTGGAGTCGCCATCTAGCGGAGGCCCGGCACGAAGGAATGTGAGGGCTCCCCCGACTATGGACCATACCCTGACGCTGCCTTCGCATCTCAGAGCTGCGGTAGTTTTCTTCCAGCCTACTGTCTCGCTCGTAACTTTGTTCTTATGGCACATTTTTTGCATTCGTCGTGGACAAATACAGGTTCCGTGTTTCGTAAGACTTCATTTTCCAAACTTCAACGGTGCTGACCGAAGTGGGCTTTGTTTCCCGTTTATATAGTCCTGCTTATTAACCATTTTAAACCACCATACAGATCTGCCTGTGCACAGAAAAGCCCTTCATTCTATATTTTTATTGCCTCCCTGCTGTCACGTACAGGGGGAAGGGGGGGAGGGGGGGGGGGGTTCACAGACGACTGAGAACACTCCCTAGAAAAAGAGCACTTGGAGAATAAAAACAAAACCGTTTATTTTTTCGGTTAGCGTAGTCGACCGCGGGAGATGTCAATGTACAAATGAAGAGTCACAGTAAGCAGTCGGATTACATAAATCTCGCTCTTTATTTTTTACTCATATGTCTTATATGATACATATCAATTAAAGGTGTGTTTAGCCCGTCGTTCAAACATGCTATAGCAGTTGTTGCAAACACAAGAACTAAGTTCCCTTCTACGCCATTCAATGGCGAAGGTAAGCTTTCTACAGTCCGGCGTACCGAAACTAAAAAGAAACGATAGCCCGAGGAGATATCGGAGCGTGATGCGTCTTTTCTACGACGAAGTGATACCTCGTATAAGAGCGACTCTCTCAGACTATCAGCCACTGCGTTGGCTGGCGTCGCTTCAGGGAGGGGTTTCCGTCGTCCATTCGGGCCTCCTTAGAGCCACGGTGACGTTGCTAATATATCATACAAAAGACAGTTTGCACACAGTGTCTGCGGCGTGTTCCTTTCATGCATGGCGGTCCCGTTAATCATGCAGAAATTTCCTGCAGGCATATGTTCGAAGCACACTTCTGTGTGAAGCAAACGTTGTGCTGCGAAGATGGTTGAGGCGTGTCCGCAGAGAGCTCTGTCATCCTGTCTACAGAGAAACTCTGCGTCTTTTGTATCCCGTCTGAACAGGGCGACTGCGGTTCATGAACCCCGGACGTCACGATACTGCACGGCTCGGTTAAAGAAAAGAGGTATCATTTTACGGAATGAGTGGATGTCTCGTGTTGAAACGTGATGGCTTAGCCTCAGCTTAGGTCCGAGCGCGGCCGATGTTACGAGCCGAAGGGCCAATCAAACAGCGAAAGAGGCACAACGTCATGGTGTGCTTTCTGCAGGTGATAGGACTAGCCGGTATTCGCCGTCTCTCTGTGCACTGCTCCTCCGCCGGCTGGTCCTATAAAGCGCAGAAAGCGCGCCATGACGTTGCACTTTCTGCGCTGTCTGATTGGCCCTTCGGCTCATAACATCGTCCGCGCTCGAACTTAAGGTAAAACAAAATATAGTCCACAGATACCGCTAAAAAAATTCACAGGGTCTTTTGCGTTATTTTTAAGCCGACTAGAAGGCGAAAGCCCAAGCGCCGATCCCGGTGATAGCGAACCTCTGAAGACAGCGCGCTATTTGACGACGGACTTTTGGCGCAGTTAATAGGGAGTTTTAATAGACCGTGTTTCCCCCTCCGCTAACCCTCCGCTACGAAGAAACCGCCATTGCGCCTGCGCGCCGATGGCCTTGGCTGTAGAGTTCCGGGTAGCGGAGGGGGAAGCACGGTCTACTAAAACTCGCAAATCTCACGGCATGTCGCACGCCCGTTCTTCACCGCTGCGCGAGCGAAAGTGTCCTCCTCTCCCGCTGGGTTTATGCCGCGCGCGCCCCTCCGCCGATTCTGGCACAAGTAACGCCATCTCGTGGTCCAGTGGCGAACCTCTGGTTTTGGTACCTTTCATGTCGCCGACGCGTTTTTGGTCAAGGACTGAACGATGAGACATTCGACTTAAATAAAGAATTAAAACCAATTATGTTTTTTGGTTGAAAGGGAGACAAACTTTGACGTGGCTACCAATGCGAGGGAATATGCAATGCGGTGGTAAGATGAATGATGTTTTCTGGTATCTCCGTCTCCTCGCCGCTTAAATTTGCCAGAGAATAGCGCGAAGTCAAATTTAGTTGACGTTCTTACCACAGTTACACGATGGCAATACATCTCTGATTAGAATGTGACAGCTCAGGTGAATACTTTGAAAGTTAATGATATCATTTCGAGTAATTAACTAGCTAATTATAACTTTGCACTCCTAACTCGATGCCCACCGTAGTTGATCGACGAAAACGCATTCCCCAAGAAATAGTTTCCTCAATTTAAGCATTTCTTGTTTTGTCAATTATTCTGTCGTTAGAGAAACACCTTGTACAGCAATGTCTTTTCCAATTTCTCCTCGTGTAAAAGACCGATCCCAACAGCCAGTTTTGCAACGCCAATGCTATCGCAATGCATCGAGGGGGCTTTAGTCTTTCTACGCGTGCGGCAACCTCGCTGGAGCTGTGCACCATGCAGAGCACGTGAAGGCACGAGCTGTCGGCGCGCTACCACCTGCCTTCTGAGAACTAAAGTTATGGCGGCTTCGGCCATGCGCCGAACGCTTGGTAAGATCGGTATATTAAAATGCACTAGATTTCCTTGAAGTGGATCAACTAAAAAAAATTAAAAAAGTGTATTACCACATGGTTGTAATGTGTGTGTGTGTGTGTGCGTGTGCGTGTGTGTGTGTGTGTTTTTCTTTATGCATCATGAACATTTTAGCAGTGGCTTCGTACCCATGGCGTGAATGCTTGTTTTCCTCTTTGTTGTGCGAGCCTGTGTTTGTTGGAAAGAACCCCTGGTTTTCAGCACCGCTCTGACATTAAAGGCGAGAGCTCAGAAGTTTTGACTGGTCTAAGCGTCAGTCAATAATCGTACGCAGATAACGCAAATCTTGGCGCTCCTGGGAGGCTACCTTGGCGTCTGGCTCGGCCTATCCCTGCAGAGCCTGGCATTCACCGTCATCTCGACACTCCTGAGGAGGCTCCAGCGTCGGCAACGTTCCAAATACCGGGCTGCAGAGTACGTGGGACATCCCGAGTGCACTTTCAAAGTCTCATCAAGGCGCAGGCTGCCCCGTAGCGTGTCACTTGGTTTTACAGACACAACACGCTATATCCACAGCGGTCAGCATACTTCGTTTCACCTGAAATCAGAGAGTAGCCGACGCTACGAGCGGTTGGGGTGGATCTCGTACTGCCAAAAACTTACCGTCGCAGCGGTCTTGGGGTTTCAACCCGTGTGTTATATCACTGGATGAATCAATCAAGCTCTGGCATGGGCGTGACCTTACACCGTTAATCGGTGCGTTTGTGCTTGCTCGTCTTCTGGCAAAACAAAGTATAGAATGGCTTCTAACCAAAGCTAAGCTAATCAACATAACCTACACCCAATCGTGGTTACGCGTTTAAACTGAAAAGCCTGCCGATAACCCGATTTCGAAAGCGTATGTGGGTTTTGTTTCGAGAGAGTGCCTTGTGAATTTTTCTTTGCTGTAGGGTTGTAACGCGAATTTCATGCTATCCGTATGATGAGGTCCTGGGTAATCTATAGTATATGAGGATAGTAAGCAGCTAATAGGAAGTATTTTTTAAGTGTTTGTTTGATATTATTGCTTAAAGTGGATTCTCAGATCATCTATTTATGGTGATAACTCATCTAAGTGCTCTAAGCATCCTAAAACCCTCGAAATTACACTCGTGGGCGGACAATATGTTTCTTATTCAAATGTGATTAAGGATTATGACACGCCCTTCTTTGTGCGCCTTAGAGAAGGTACCAGCGGCTAGTCGCCAAACGGCGTTTTCAATCAATGATTACTGTATTACGTCTCTACACCCAAATGTATGACGTTTTTGTCAAACTATAATGGGCAGTCAACGCGCCTAAATATAGCAGTAATAGGAGCGTCAGGAATCTCCACGCCATTCATTTTCATCGGCCAGAAAATTTCATGGAGATAATAAAAAGCGAGGATGATAAAAACCGAGGAACCTTATCGACTAAGGAGCAATAATAAGACGCTCGGTACTTGTCAAGCGTTTCTTAACTTGTCAGGGACTATCGTGGTTCAAACGTCAGGGCCAAGTTTGGGAATTTAACAGGAAGGGAAGACCGCGGGGACTTTTTGCGACTTAGATATAACTGTGTCAGATGGGCACGTAATGCCGCTTAAGGGCCTTCATAGCGAACTCTTTTAAAGAATAGACCTGTTGCAAAGCGCTTAGAGCCGACCGCGGCGTCGAAAGGTATGCCGGAACGCCAGATGCAACCGCTTTTAGCAGGCGACGGAGGCGACGGCGAGCGGGCCTCCAGGACAGGCGAGAAGAAAACCCGGTACCCTGTCGCTCCCTTCAGTGTCACGTAGACCGACGTCGCGGGAACATTTCTGTCACGATAACTCCGTTTCACGATACCTTGGTGAACTGTGGAGGCTAGGGCCCCGCGACCCAATAAGAGCGTCGGAGCGAAGGTACGTGCCTCGACGCCACGGGAACATTTGTGTCACCACGGCTAATGGGAGGCGCGAGGGCCGGAGGAACCGGCTGCCGTCTGCTAGCCAAGAGTCGTCTGCTCCGAAACCAACCAACTTCGGATGAGCGTCCACCGCAGCAACATATCCGCCCGCTAGAATAGCGAACACTTCGGGAACAGTTTGTGAGACAACCATACACTTAATTTAGCCGCGAATCAGTGACGGGCGATAATGTCAGGGCACAGTGCGATGTTTTGAGCGGAATTGGCCGATTACAAAGTTGCGATCGCCGGCGATCCCAACCTTGTAATTTTGGAAAACGTCCCATAATGCAACGCGAGGGTCTCACTCGTGACCCGCGCGTTGCATTATGGGACTTTTTCCATAATGACGTCACACTTGACGTCACGACTGACGTCACGAGGGTCCCGCGCGTTGCATTGTGGGAAACGTCCATCTGATGCAACGAGCGGGTCTCACTCGTGACCCGCGCGTTGCATTATGGGACGTTTACCATAATGATGTCACGAGGGTCACGAATGACGTCACGAGGGTGTCGCGCGTTGCATTATGCGAAACGTCCCACGATGCAACGCGCTGGTCATTCGTGACCCGCGTGTTACATCATGGGACGTTTCGCATAATGACGTCACGCGTGACGTCATGGTCACTTGTTAAGGTCACGACAGAGGTATGCCTCCTCCTCTGTACCCTCTCCTCCTCCTCCTCAACAGCTGCGCTCTAATTCGTCATTACAGGAAATTGTAAATGTTTTTATTTCTTAGAGCGCAGCTCTTGGGCGCCCGTTTCCGGCTTGAGAGTGGCGTCGCCGTCGGCGTAACCATGCGGTGCACTATGGGACGGGTGACGTCACTGGTGATGTCACTGATCACGATGGCGTCATGACGACGATGGCGACAATGACGTCATTGTCGCGTGACCTCACAGAGATCACGTGACCCCCGTGAGGTCACGTGACCCTGCTGACGTCACATGACCCCCGTGAGGTCACGTGACCCTCGTGAGGCGACGGCGACGCCGCTCAGAGGAAGGTGTGGCAGACAGGATGAGGAGGTGAGTAAGAGGGAGGAGAGGTACACCTCCCCTCAGTACCCTTCCCTCATCCTCAAGAGCTGTGCTCTGATTCGGCGTTACAGGGAGTTGTAAACGGCTTTAATTTTTTTCTTTCGCGTACAATTTATTTTGTCGAGATGCGTGTCCCAAAAAAAGTTAATATATATATATATATATATATATATATATATATATATATATATATATATATATATAAATATATATATATATATATATTTTTTTTTTTTTTTCAGAAGCTGTTTAATGGGCCGCGGGGGCCGCAGCCTCCACAGTTTGCCAAGTTATCGTGAAATAGATTTTTGTTTATACAGATGCTGCAGTGGCAAGGAGCAAAGAGGAGGACTTTTCGCGCGGCGTTTTGGGATTTTTTGAAAAAGTTTAAAGCTCGCGATTTTGGCTGTGCTCGCACCCATCGACGTACGCTGGTTCGACGATCCTTTAAAGGAGTTTTCTTCTGGAGGCCTTTAACGTGCCCGTCTGACAGAGGTTTAATGCTTCTGACATTACATAAGGCTGTAGCAAGTTCTTGAGTTCAGCGTACACAGACGTGTCCAAAGTCAGCAGGACAAATCATACAACTGCGAGAGAAGGTAGCCCCATGCTTTGGCGCCACCGGGAACTACACTTGTCCTTAAACTGCCAGCTGGCTCACGACGCCTATGCCAGGCTCCTGTCAAGCAAGCGGCACTTGGCCGAGCAAGGGCGTCAAGCGTTTGAGACGTGCCAGCTGTCCAGTGGGCTCTGTGCCAACCGTTCTTCAAATGACAGAGAAAGTGGAAAGCTGATGGTTGAGGCCATTGAAGCGGGCGCCCGAGACTTGGGCAAGCATTAACCTGTTTAACCTTGAGGGGAATCGACATCGATGATTGCTCACCCGTCTTGTTCCTAATAAACAGTCTTCGGCGTCTGGATACCGCGCCCATGTGTAGTGTGAAATAAGCGAGAGGCAATTAAGCATCAGATTTCTATTTACATTTTCTTCGAGTATATTTTTATCATATCGTACGGAATCCGGGAAACTACCTTCTGCGAAGTGCCAGCACGAGTTCAAAAAACGAAAACAAGTGAAATAATAATCTGGGTAAGCGTATTAATGGAACGTATAAAAAGAGACATGAAACAAGGAAAATAGAGTAAAACGCCCGAATGCCGCGATGTTTCGGGGCCGGCGAAGTCAATAAGTATCAAGGAGGAACTACTAGCTACGAAGTTGGGAAGATAGAATACAAAAGGAAAATAAGAAAATAACAGTCTGTACAGTCTGTTGTTTTTGCCTTCTAATTTGTAACAGAGGCCTTAACTCGCTCTATAAACTTACTGAAGTTGACAGCCTTTTGTGAGTATTCTTTTTACCAATAATCAGCGTAAAAGACGTCTTCCATGTAAAAGTAGCCAGAAGTAAGCCGGCGTGCGATGCATGTACCCGGGTAGCCCTTGTAGGAAACATGACAGCGTCGGCTTTAACTTTCAGAATGCCGTATACACACTTTCAGAAATTCAGTGCCATCTGCCTCACTTGTGAGTCAGCATTTTTGTATGCTAATGGCGGTTAATATCTAGTACCTATTCGCCAACGGGAGACGTACGAAATCTACGGTGTTCTTTGATGTAAACACTTATTTTTATATTTGCTTCATATACGATGGTGTCCAGATACTTCCACTTTGTACAAGTCACTTTCTCGAGTAAAACGTTCGATAAAATGTATTACACTTGATTGTCATAAGCTGTCGGGGTGTGCCGAATCCGAGCGTTCCAAGGTTTGGCCTGACACTCTCAAGTGCGTAAACGTACGATAAAGCGAACAAACGTCCGGAATGTTCAGGCTCAGCCGCGTCGGCGGCCGTCTTCAAATGTTTCCCATGCTTTCTTCGACAGCCATAAAAAGGCCGCCATTAGCATGTACAGAGGATATACACATATATCCTCTGTACATGCCAATGGTGGGCAGTCAATCGTGGCGAATAGGGGAACGATCTCAGCAATTCTAGAAGATTGTGGAAGCTCAGATTTGGGGGGGGGGGGGGGGGGGGGGGGGGTTTAGGGACACTGAGCGAGTGAAACGTCAAGCTCAGTGTCCCCGTGCACATAGCATTTGTAAGACCTCATCGTGTTCTAAGCTTCTTCATTCTCTAGGATGCTTCGGTTGACAGCCATGATTCACGGTCTCCGTGTTATACAGAAAAGCTATCTCACAGGCTAATTTTTAGAACGAAGCCTTTTTTCAGGCCGATTCACTTTACGGTTTTCTGTGTTAACCAGCCGACTCGTAGCCAAGCAAGCTGAATGCCGCTCTGTTTTTGATGTACTCACCCGCGTTTACCGGAGACATTGGGCGCTGGTAGCACAGAACAATATCGGTCTGTTTTATCTCTGTCTCAGTCTCTCTCTTCCTTTCTATCATTGTATTATTATTTTTTTTTGTTCTAAGTGGTGCAGTAGTGTTTCTTTAAAAAAAATGAAAACAATTTGATGACATGTTTTCGGTCTCTTAAAGGGTGAGAGGATCACCGAACAATTATGAGTGTTCATTTTTCAAGTATACGTATATAAAAAAAGTTACTATTGGTTGCATGTTAAAACCCCCTTCCTGAAATAATAAGGGGCGCGATACGCCCATCAGGCCACATAGACTTAAGTTCATCAGTTGTTCATATAGTGGCCGCACTTATCCGCAGTGTAGGAAGGACCAGTCAGTGCAGAAGGTTAGAAAATGACTTATATAAACTAAATTGATAATCTACCTTCAAAATATAAGTACCAAATTGTCTGCCGTCAACCTCGATGCTATCTGAAAAGCCTTTGGCCCATTTAGAAATAATTAAGGCCACAGGAAATACTCGAGCTTACTAGACTGGCGTTGACCCACCTTTCCCGCGTTCACTGCTGTCTGTTTGTAAACAAGTTCACTACCGCCAGTTATCGGCGGGCCCCTGAGCGCTTCCGGTTCTCCCTTTGTTTATTTTTGTTTCGCGTTATTTTGTTACATTGTCCGCTCAAAACGCTCGCAGCTTCTCACGGGCGTATTACGCTTATTAGTGTCGCGAACAAAAGCTGTTCTGCCTGACCGTTGCGCGCTGCGCGGAAGAACAAATATATGCGCTACCGGAAGTCTGGTGAGACGCGAAATACTGGAATAAATAAATGCGACAGCATATTTAAATGCTCTCGCATTTAAAATGAAATTTACACTAGAGTTATTGCGCAACAAACACCGGGGAGCACACAACGTGTTGTTAATGAGCTGGGGACATGTCTACGTGTGTGTGCGTGTGTGACGTCACGTGGAGTCATGACGTCACATAACTGTGAAGTTCCACGACGTCATGATGTCACATGATATGATGATGTCACAAAGTCGCGTGACCCCCTGACGTCACGCGACGTCATGGTATCACGTGACGTCATGATGTCACGTGATGCCATGATATAATGACGTCATGGGACACCGTGACGCTGCTATCTTGTGACTCTATGAGTGTCACGTGAGGTCGCAATGTCATGTTACGTCACAGCGTCACGTGACAAAAGCGTGTCACGTGACGTCACGTTGTCAGGTTGCATCATGATGTCACGCGATGTCGCAGTGCAGTTCTTCGATGTGGTTTTCTCACGGAATTCGGCCGATGAAACACAATCTGCTTTAAAACTGTTTGAAATGGCCCTCACTGTCCCCTTCAAAGGCGGTACATGGTGTAGCCCACGGCGTCTTTATGCAGGGTGTCCACCCTGATGCGCTGCCTGGGCCTCGTGGCCACCCTCATCTGCCTTTCATTCTGCGTGATGAACTCGCTGGAGGACGTGAACCGCTACTGGAGCTTCCCCGCCGCAGTCGTCTACAGCGAGGACAGACGAGTGGAGTTTCCGGGCGTCACCATCTGCATCCCTCAGGGGTACGGAAGCAACGCGAGCTGGAAGGCAGTGTCTGCGCCTTGCCTAACGTCACCACAGGTGGATCCCCGCAGGGCCGTATATACAGAAAGTTTGGCCATTCATTGGGAAATATAGGAATAAAATGAGAAGACGCGATCGGCCGAAAGCGTGCTGGGCGTCTTCCAGGGCGTCTTCACAAATTCGAATATGGCCAAGCAGAAGACGGAAATAATACCGTGGCGGTGGTCGCGAGAAATGAAATTAATTAGTGCGTCGGAGTAACTCTCAGTGTCTGAAAATATGATGCACGTGATGTTTCATTCACGGTCATCCAAAACCATGGCGGAAGAGCGCGTCTAGCGGAACGATCGACATAATCGATACGCCAGGCGCCGAGGGCCAGGAATCTGCCGTCCGAGCGGTCACATTCTGTCCGAGAAAAACAGAGTTCGACCGGCACATTCGTTTCTTACAAATGTATGCATGATCGTAACCGAAAAATCAGGTGCACCCTATTTTGAACCATGAAGGGTTGCTACATTTAACTCTTACGCCCTTATTAAAGGGATACTGAACCAAGGAATTTGGTGTCCATAATAAGTGGCGCATGTTCTTTCCACGAGCCAGCAGCCGCCGGTGTGCGCGAGCACAGGCAACAAAAATGACGTCACAGACCTCCATTCGTGGTTGAGATGACAGTGAAATGTATGGGCTTCGGACCAAAGGAGAATAAAGACAAGTTTTTCATCTACACAGTGGTGCCTGGTGTAAAAAGTAAGCGATGAATTGGTCTAACAAGCACGTAGCTTTCACTTGTAGAGATGAAAAGCCTGTCTTTATTCTCCTTTAGTCCGAAGCCCATGCATTTCATTGTCATCTCAACCGCGAATGGAGGTCTGTGACGTCATTTTTGTTGCGTGTGCTCGCGCACACCGGCGGCTGCTGGCTGGTGGAAAGACCGTGCGCCACTTATTACGGGCACTAAATTCTTTGGTTCAGTATCCCTTTAACACAAGATATGTATGATTAAAACGGTTTCTCGTTACCACCGCTGGTGGATTCTTTTTGGCTTCTGCTTGGCCAAGAGAGCATGCCAAGCCCTCTTTCTGCGTCTGGTGCACGCCCTGGCTCTGCCCGCTCCTCCCATTGACCAAACTCTCTCCATACACGGCTCTGGATCCGCGCGCTCGCGTCTATTCGCCACGAGCGCCTCTCGTTGTGTCTACCAACGACGGCGATGCTCGAGTCCCTGACTGGAGAAAGAAGTTTCAGTTGACTTGCCTCACGCTGGCTACCTTTTATAACGTTTGGGTGTCTTGAGAGCCTCCAGCGTGCACGCGCAGCCAAAGCACCGCGAAAGGCAACGAGCGTGTGCGAGAGGCAGGGTGTCCGAAAAAGACGCCATGCCGTTCTCACCTTGCGAGTGACACCATTCCTATGTTCACAAATCCACAGTGCGAAACCTCCACAGCCCAGCACACGCATATTCGTTGCTCGGGAAGACGAGCAAAGCACGCACCATACGCAGCATTGCTGAAAAGGGCACCAAATGCTTGGCCCCGGCCAGAAGGCCCTTTCTGGAGGGACTTGTACGGGTAGAAAACGAGGAAGAGGGAATGAGAGGGCGCGGGGACGTCGGAATACGGTGCTCTGGTGGGAACGATCATTGCGTAGACGCAAAGCTAGCCGCCTTTGTCTCTGCTAAATATTCGAACACGTTCGAACACCAAACGCCAGAGCCCGGAGTTCGGCTTGCAGCAATTGGAGACAAAGGCGCCTAACTTTGCATCCACCCACACATTCCAAACAGAGCTCGGTGTACCAACGTCCCAGCGCACTCCTCCTCTTCCTCAACTTTTAACCTTCGTGTACCGTATTTTCTGGACTCTATACACCTTTTCCATAAAGGCGCAGCCATCTTGAATGTCGTCACTTCTGGTACGGGGTTTCGATCTCTATACGCCGCTGGAAGGTGTTTACGAAAATGCCTGATTGTCACCCATTCTTGTTTTGCCTCACCTATATTCTCTCGCATATTCCAGGTTGAAATGTTTTATTATTGTTTCGTCACGCATACCGGATACGGAATCCACGTGACTGAGACCGACAGAAAAAGAGACAACGTCTGTAGACAATTACGAACATGGCGCTCCGACTGGTCCCCCATGTGCGTGCAGCTTGCGCGTGAACGTAGCTTCGGCAAGCTTGCAATTCCACTGGCTCGTCCGCACGATCAGAAACATGGCGGCGGCCAATCGCCTTGCTTGCAATCGTCTATACACGTTTCCACTGTTTACAAAAAGCACAGTCCACACGTGCCACAGCAAAGTCCAGCCAGCGTTCGCTGGCAACCACGGCCAGCCAGAAAGTGCTTGTGCATAACACACAGCAATGAACGCGCCGTTATACGCTTTTATGGAAAGGTGTATAGACGATTTCGAGCAGGGCGACTGAACGCCGCCCTGCTCGTGTGGGCGTGCCCGTGCCATTGCAAGCTTGTCAAAGCTATGTTCACGCTCACGCTGCCCTTGCTTGCACGCTTGGGGCACCAGCCCGGCCCCATGCTTGCAATTGTCTCTACGGAACGCAAGTTTGTCTACTTTTTGCCCAGAGGTGGCGATGATATCAAAGCGCCAAGCTCTTATGAGCTGATTGAAATAAAAAATAAAAAGACATAGTGGGTAGAGCTCAAGGCATCCAGCATTGAGGTCTACCCACTATCCTTTCAATCAAAGCTAACCAGAGCTCGGCGTCGTACTGACGTCACCGCACCCCCTGCGCAAGGAGCAGGCGACTTGCTCTCCGAACAAACACTTGCAATCATGGCACCCCGACTGGTGCCCCAAGCGTGCAAACACGTGCGACTTGCGAGTGAACATAGCTTTGGCAAGCTTGCAATGGCACGAGCTTGCCCGCACGAGCGGAGATATGTCGGTGGCCAGTCGCCTTGCTGGCAATCGTCTATAATCTGACGACTATGCATGCTTAGAAGTTGAAATTTGACGTGTTGCAGATTATTTATAGGTGCCTACTATACAAGCAATTGTTTTTTTTAGGTCGTTCATTCTGGCGAGTCGTTAACGAGTTTACTAATGGCCCAATCTCACCAAATCTTTGGCGCACGCGGGGCGCCGCCACAACTTTAGTAAACAGGAGAGAAGCGGCAGTAACGTTGGGCGGCACTGCATGAAGAGGCTCGTGCTGCCTCATGCTTTCCTCGCACAGAGCCCCTCCGAGGATGACGCACGTCAACCTTGATGCATTACGATAGCGGCGGTGAAGCACAACTGGCCGTTGTAAAGCCCCTCGATGTGCATGCGTTTGTCTTACAAGTATGGCGTCAAATGCTCTGTGCATGAGGCTCGTGCTTCAAGCGGCCCTTGGAAGCAAATGACGCCACAGCACTAAATAATTTACCTTTGGAAGTGAACGGCAGCGGAGCACCCGCTCGTGGTACGTGTCCTGCGCGTTTCCACAACAATGATTGGCAGTAGAGTCACTAAATGTTCAGTGACTCTATACTTCGTCTCACATTAGCATGGACTATTGTTAGCCGTGCATGCTAAAAGCGCGAGCTAGTCTTTTTGGATGAAGCCTCGTCGGCTGCACGAGCGCTCGTGCCCGGCGAATACTCAAGTCATCGTAGTCAAGGCTAGCCGCTCGCGCTTCCACAGCCTTTGCAGTTAGTCCATGGTAAAGTGAGACAAAGTACAGTTGTTGGTACTAGTAAAAAACACCTTTATCAAGGGGCTTTAGGATATTGTAGGTTACCTACATATATTTGTCTCTCAGGGTGAACACATACTTTGTTACATTGAATGGGCCAGTGCGTAACGCGCTGGCGCACACCACGCGTGACTTGCCCGGTAAAATGGTATCTAACCATTCGCCAGGCTTCCCGCTCGAGCTGAGTCCCACCAGTTTGCGCGCACTTCAAAAGACTTAAAGGGGCGATGCATCGATATTAAATTGGAATGTTTTTCACTTTACACGAGCTTTCTGGCACTAGTGGGACTCAAGGATACTCGCACGCAACGCCACTGGCCAAGAAACTCCTTTGTTACGGTGTAATTTCAAGGACAGAAGCGAGTGTTTTCATTCAATAGGGAGTTCTAGTAGATCGTTTTCGAAGGCCCGCTACCGCTACGAGCGCGCGCTTCAGAGGATGCATCGAAGCGGCAGCGCGAGCTCCCGCTACGATTAGCGTGGCCTGAAAACACGGTCTACTAAAACTCTCTATTCTCTCCTTCGCAAAACCTGATGATATAACTGGGCGGTAGCTGTACCGCCCAGTGACGATATTTGAATGCGGCTCATAGATTGGACCCGAGCATGGCGTGGACACTCGATTTGGGCTCGTGATAATTGATAGCTCGAGAAGCATTCGGGTAGTGTCCTGTGCCCAATCGCTGCAATGACGACAACAGCCGAACCATAACAATGTCAGGAACTCAGCGCGTGTGCTGTGCCTTGCCAAACCCCAGCGCGTGACTATGATCCACATTGGCGGCATATAATCGGCTCCAGATCACGTGGCCGCTTGTTCTGGCTGCGGGTTGAGGGGGTGAACTCTGCTCGTTTTTCTTTATTTTTTTCTGCGACTTCAATCGCGTGTGGTGAAAAACGAACGGGTATTTCACAGCTCATTAACGCCAGGGATCCGTTCTAAGCGGTATTTGAGCAAAATACAAAAATCGTTACATCGCCCCTTTAAAAATCGATTGGGCGAAAAAAATGGCTGTGATGTCATCACTCGAGCAAAAGCGCCTGTTTTGTATGAAAGCACTCTAGGCTCACGAAATCCCTCTGTGGCTACATTTACATGAATGCCATCGTATAGCGCATCGAATCAAGCACGAACCAATCGCACGCATCCTTTTTTCTTACTTCTTCCGATTAACTATTTTGATTGGTAGGAGATGCATCTCCTACCAATCAAAATAGTCAATCGATTCGATGTGCTATGGTCACATCTATGTAAACTCAACCTCTTAGGGTATATTTATGAGGATTTATGTAT